TGGTGAGTTCACTTATTGACGGAGAGCCGGGCGCTGCCAGCTCTGACTATGGCTCCTTCAGAGAACAATAAGAAAATATCAGAAACAAGTAAACAAGTAAACAAGAATCACATTGTGACGTTAAGGTTTCATGAGTTTTTAATTTTACATTGTTTTATTTTTAATCTCCACCAGGGTGAGTCTCACCCGTGTCAGGTTTTACGTCCAAAACTATCAAACCAATTTCCACAAAACTTGGTGGATCAGGAGAGAAACCATCAGGATCTGGTTGAGATCCAGATCTGACTGCAAGTGCAGAACAAACTTCTGAATAATTTAAATGCGGTGCCATAAGTAAAGTGTTGGTGAAGGTGTGCGTCGTAAGTGCCATGCTGCTGCCAATACTTGTTGGGTTGTTTGGTTTTCAGCAGGATTACCCAAAAAGTACTTTCATGAAACTTGAATGAGACATGGAACTCATTAACTTTAGTTCGGGGGTTTTCACATAATTTCCAGATAGAAATTCACGGATCTTTATAAAAAATAAAATAATAATAATCTGACGAATCCATCATGTTGTGCGGATTTAAATAAAAACCCAGAACTGTCGGATTCAGTCGTGGTTTCATGAGGAGACACTCCCGGAGGTGTGAGTGACACTCTATTGTTTTTATTATTTTTTAAAGCAGCTGTCCGCTCCACCAGCTCCATTTCTGCATTGCATTGTGGGGCAACCGTCTGCACAGGGACTTTTCACAACTTTTACCGCGGTATGGAATCGACAGCTGAATTTGCCCGAAACACTTCTAGACGTTAAAGCCGCCTGACGTTATTTGAAAACCTGTTTGACTTCTGAGAGAACGACGAGGGGGATATTTGCGTTGACATTGAACCAAAAATGAAACCTTCGCCGTCTGTGCGGCCTCCTCAACACCAACGCGGCCTTTTCCTGCAGCCATAACACGCTCCCAGTGTCTGCAGCCCAGTTGCCCGAGCGAGGCAAGTCCTGCCAAGTCCTCCGAGCGCTCGTCTTTGGAGTTTGACAACACATGTGTCTCTGTCCGTCTGTCCCAGGACTTTTTCCCACTTTAGGAATGTTGTCTCTGCCTGTTGCAGGAGCACAAAGAGCCTCGTCTTTGTCCACGTCCGTCAAAAGATCCGAATCGGTCGCTCCTCTTCTGTTTTTTTTTTTTTTGTATCCACACTGTCGGCGTTCAGCTCAGCAGGGCTGCGCCGCTGCCGCACAGTCCGCCGTAACACAGAGCTGCAAGTAGACCAGAAGCCGTTACAGCATAAAACGTGCCGTCACTTTCTCTCGTCAGTCATCAGCAGAGCGACAGAGGAGGAGAGCAGGACTGGAGGGGAGGGGGGGGAGAGAGGCTACAGCTGAAGGCAGAGAGGAGGGTGGGGGTGCAGGGGGAGAGTGAAGGGGAGGCAGGGATCAGCAGTCTCTAAAACCAATACAAATCCTTGCTCTTATCCTGCCCCTGAAGACCTGAGAGAAAAGGAAAGAAAGGAGGAAGACAAGAAGAGGAGGCGGAGGAGGAAGAGGCAAGAATAGGAAGATTAGCGAGAGGAGCACAAACGTCGCGGTGATAAAAGCAGGAGGAATCGCTGGAGGCGGCGGAGATGAAACCAGAGAGAAAGGAGGGTTGACAGCCGGTGTTAAGGTGTTGATTGACACTCAGGTTGTCGGTTCAAACCACTTGTGGTGATTTGATCTGAGGCGGCGAAACGGAGCTTTCATTAGATTCTGCTCCGTTGATGCTGAAGCTGAAGTTGTCACATAAAGCGAAACGTAAACTGATGCTTTAAGTTTTCACTCCAGTCAAATATCACAACATTTATTAATTAGTTCTTAGTGACGGAGCTTTTAGACGATTGGTGGCCACAAGTTTAACAAAGCTAGCATCGATCACTTTTGGTTTTGTTATCGCATCAACCTCCGACGTCAGTTTGTTAGTTAGCAGGATTACGCAAAAACTACTTGATTTCCATAAAAATGTGTGAAGTAGAAACTGTACGAGCGTTGCTCCGACGATTCTGAGTGACGGGTCTGACTGTCTACGTGGACGGTAAAAACTTTACGGACAGTAGCAATGGAACAAAACACAATGTTGTCCTAGTTTTCTCTTCAGTTTTTAAAGTCAGATCGTTCAGTTTGAGTTGGGCTGAGCTGAGCGCTGATTGTGTAACTCTCAAAATTTGCCAACAAAACTAAACATAAGAAAAGTTTATAAAGAAAACTTTACCAGATTTACGTTGCAGAGAAGAAAGAGTTCAAACAGCCATTTGAAATAAATCAACTAAACTTTGTGTTTGATTAGAAGAGAAAAGTTCGTATGTTTGAATGATGACATCTTAAATGTGATTCATTATTTTTTATTTCCATTTGCTCTGCACATCTGTCGCGTCTTAGTCTTTGGAAACAAAATGATGTTGACCTGAGAAACGGACGATACCTGTGTCCATGTTGAGTCCGATTTCTGCTCCGGCTCCAGTGAAGGCGCCGCTCCAGGTCGACCCCGTCCCCGACTCGCCCTTCCCCCCGAGGTCACAGGGCGAGGAGTTGGGCCCTGACACCGAGCTGCCGGGCGTCAGCCGGTGGTGAGGCCTCACTGACGGCATCAGCAGCGAGCCGTAACGCGGGTCGAATGCCGCGCCGTACATCTCGTGAACGCCCGGGCGTGGGTACGCCGAGCCCTGGGTGCCTATAGCGCCGCCTAGCGAGTACGGGTGGTGGTGGTGATGGTGGTGGTGCGACGGGTGCCAGGCTTCGGGGCTGGGCTGGTGGAGGTGGCTGTGCAGGGAGGCGGAGGAGTACGGGTCCCCGGGGAAGGAGAGCTCTGTGTGGGGAGCTGAGAGAGCGCTGCCCAGCGCGGAGGAGACGGACGACTGGTACGAGCTGTTCCAGAAAGACGGAGGGAAACTTCGCTGGCTCATCGGGAATGAATCTGACGAAAACACAAATCCACAAGTTGAATCTACAAAGTAAGTTTGTCTACTCGTCTTTAATGGTAACTAGTTGTTAAGATTACTAACTTTTAAGAGCAACAATCAAGTTATAGGATGTGAAGGTTCATTCTTTACTTTGGAAACGTCTCAGTCGTAATCTAACATAATTTAAAATGACTTATTTTCTCTATTTTTGCGGAATTTATTCAAAAGAACCTGCGAACATTCTGATTATTAGTCGTTATTTAAGTCACTTTACAAAAGCAAAAGATGAAGAACTCTCCAAACCTCCACAATAACTTGACTGACCGAAGAAGTCGATTGTCAGATGAACCGATATTAAAAATAACCGCAGCCTTATAAAAAATAACTTCAGCTCTGAGGACGTATTTTATAAACTAATGTGACGCACTTTCCCGTAAAACGTATTTTTTTTAATCTCCACATTAACTCATTCAAGAAACGATTGACTAAAAACCCTGTAAACCTCGGGCGGTAGAATTAAATACAAATATGCAACACCCCAAAATAATCTACTGCTAACGTGAGGTATTCTTATTGAATGTGGGAACAAGTTAGATTTACCTGTAACTGTACTTTCCAAATATTGCTGTATTCATTATATTTTGGTGCGTTTTTTGAAATCCACTCACAGTTTTTTTGTTTGACTCAAAAATACAAAAATCAAGGTCACCAGGAAAACTGAATGAAACAAAATACATTTCTTCTCTTCTCTGCTTTAGTGCTCATGAAGAATTTCAGAGCGTCTGTTCTGCTTCACATCAGCTGATAAATACGTATTAATACAAATGTTTAGACCATTTTAACGTGACCTTTAATTCATCAAGCTGTAGAATCATTGTTTTGTTTTTTGTCTCTGGTATAAAAACACAGATGAGCAGTGAAACATCATCTACATTAAAAAAACATGTTTTTTTTAATGGAATCTTTAAATAAAAACCACCGTGAGTCGTTGCAGTTTAAGAAATTCTCCTTTTTTAAATGCTTTGTCTTTGCATGACGTTATTTAATCATCACGCAGGTAAAATCTATTAGAGAAAGTTGGGGAATCCTGGGAAATGATGTTTGTGTGTAAAATCAGAAAAAAGAGAAACAAGCACAACTATTTATGGAACAAACACCAGAAATAAAAGCATGGAAGCAAAATGATGTGTTTCTCCAGAGGTTCCACACGTGTACAATGGTAGAAAACACACACACACACACACACACACACACACCTCTTACGGTCTTGTGGCTGCTTGAGGCAGGGTAAGCAGTCGTCTGGCTGAGCGCTCGGCTGAAGTGCTCGTCCACCACGGCGCTTATGTCGCCCTGGAAGTACGTGAAGAGGACGCAGCGGGAGCTCAGGTACTCGGCTCCCGGCGGCAGCTCCTTGTCCTCCTCCTTGATCGCCGGGGGCCCCACGGGGCCGAGCCGGCTGCTGCCGTCCTGGGGGTCTTGCATTTTGGAATACAAGGCCAGCTTCTGGAAGGGGGTGGGGGGGCACATAGATTTATACTGTTCATACTTCAGAAACTGAATCCAACCTATAGACGAATTTCAGATTTTTGTATTTGACATTTGACCTCTAACACACCACTTACTGGGGTTTACTGTGAAGGACACAACACGTGTCTTCGATCCAAAAAACGTGTGATACATTAACACAAAAGTGTATTTTTATTTGAAATGAAAAATAATATATATAAGTATATACGTAAAAATTGATGAGCAACTACTTCATCTAATGCTTCACCCTCCTTGTTAATTTATCACCATGACACTCACACATATAAACTAACACGTGAAGTCATTTTCAAGAACAAGAACCTAAAAGCAGACGCACACAACGACTGGAGAACATTTAAACTGGTTTAAATTACCGATGTGACAAAAAGCAAAAATCCAGGTAATGTTGAAACTCTCCTTCTACTTTGAGACGTTAAAGACTTTAAAAAACATTATTAGGATCTAACAGATTTATCAAATAAACCATAAGGAATATGATTAAAAAGTAATAAATGGTGTGAGTGCAGGTTGTAGTGTGGTGGCGGTGCAGCAGTGCACTGTGGCTGATCCTCAGGCTGTTCAGGTGACAGAGTCAGAGGTGGCACTATGTGAAAAATGCCTGGATGTTGACTGAGAGGCTTTAACAGAGAGAAAAAGCTCTTTAACAGGTCTGAGAGGCCTCACACACAACAACCTGCAGCTACTGACACACACAGACACACACACAGACACACAAGGTCCACTCACACACACTGCTGGGACAACACAGGGAAATCAAAAGGTCTTAATATATTTTTTAATTTAAATTAAACACTACACGTTTGGTTCAACATCGTAAAATTAGAGAAGGAAATTAAACTTTAGGAGGATTAATAATTGTTGTGTGACTAATTATGAATTAAGAGAATTTGTAGTAGTTCACATTTAATCAGGTTTTCATAAACTTATTCACTTTCACGTGTAAATCTTTACGCACCACTGAGGTTCCTCTCTGCTGGTTGCGCACATTCACTCCGTGAATTGCATTTCTTTAAGGTTTTTAAATGTTTATCAACTTTATATTTATATGTGGCAAAGTTGTATTAAATTCTATAGAGTTTAAACAATTAAAATTAATTATACATTTATAAATCAGAACAGGCTATGGGCGATTAACAGCTGCGTAATTCTCCTGCGTGGAGATTACGCACGGATTTTAAGTTTTACTTGATTTACCAACTTAAATCTTAATGTTTCCTTCTTCCTGAACTTGAAATAAAATCTCTATATATCAGATGGTTTTTAAAAATCCGTTTAATTCCATACCTGGTGGTGATAGGGGCTGTAGGAGCTGAAATAAGGCTGAGGACCAAACACTTGGTACATCACATCCAGGCAGCTCATGGCGAAGAAATCACGGAGAAGAACCAAGCTTCATTGAGAGAGCGGGTCAGCTCGGACTGAGAGGAAGCGCTAATCCCGGCTGTGGAGGATTCACACACTCACACAGACTCACACACTCACACAGACTCACACAGACTCACACAGACACACAAGCTTGGAGAGTCTCTCTGTGCTGTGCCGCGCTGCGCTCTTTACGCACTGGACTGAGGCCGTGCCCAACTGAGGGATCCCCTCCAGCCTCCTCCTCCTCCTCCTCCTCCTCCTCCTCCTGTTACTGCCACACCAGCCTGACACCTCCCCCCCCAACCAATCACAGGCCGAGCTCCACCTCTGCCTTAATGGACAAATTCAAATGACTGCAAACATCATAATAACAGAATATCTTAATATCTTTTCTTTTAATTGAATGACCCAGAGATTTAATCATTTTTGTGAACTCCACATTTTCACAAAATTTTCTTTCTCATCTCAGCGTTTTCCGGGCTGCGCTGGGAGATCTCGGACTTGGCTCAGGACAGACTGAGATTACAGGTAATTCCATTATTTTATTAGTTTGTTCGTTGGATATTTGTTTGCGGGATTAAAAACTACTGAACTGATTGTCCCGAGCCTGTTGGAGGGACGAGGCCTCAGAAGAACCGTAACCCATAAAATGATGGTGTAGATGAGGATCTAGAGGCAGATCGAGGTTTTCTTTCACTTTCTTTAGTGTTTTATGAAAAATAAATAAATCACAATATCAGATATTTCCTTTTTTCTTTTATATTTCTACTGTGAGAACAAATTTCTGTTCATGCCATTCTAGTTTTTTAACGTATAACTATGAGTTTAGTTTGAAACTTGCAAAGTGCGACTGCCACAAATATGATTCCTACTTAAATCAAACTTTCCATGAAATCAGCTGCACACCTCCCGACCTCACAATCTGAAACTGTGCTTGTACAGTTCCTGTGTGAGCCAGAGTCACTTTTGATGATGTTGCTGTTTGAGTTTGTTTGAGTTTGTTTGTCTGAACATCATTAAAAGTTAAGAACATCATGTCTGAAACCAGAGAGAAGGTGACGGATGAGCTGAACACTGCGAAGAGAGAGAAATCTCTAATATTTTCTTCTTCTGATGCTTTTCACTAACAAACACACGAAGGGAATATGTGATATCATTAAAATGTGATGTAGGTTATTAAAGGGATCGTTTCATATTAGAAATACGCTCAGAGCTCATAACGATCCGTGAGTTGGAGGTTTAATTCAAATGGATCAAAGGTTTATTCGGCTGAATAAATTGGTGCATTTCACCAGAAACGTCTTTTTAATGTCTGACACACCGGCTGCGATGAAACACTATATAATTCAGATCATTTCAAACCTTCTCGTAACTCGCTCCTCGACTGTAGCTCACTAATTGTTGGGCAAATTGACCCCTGACCTCTCGTAACAGCACCAAACTGGGAGAAAACTATTTGACCTCTGACCCCCCCCCCCCAGAATTTGGGAGGCCACCGAGGGATTGTGGGAATTCACAGCATCACATTCCACTCATTGGTCCGTTTGATTTGTTTACTCGTTCAATTAGCGGCGTTACATTCTGGAGGTTTGAACTCCGCCGCTTTGATTTTCAGCCACAATAAACAACGTGGTCATCATCAGTAATTACACACATACTACACACAAAGTACTACAACACGACTTATACTTGTTACCTTCCAGTACTAATGTTTTCATAGTCATGATACTTCCACTTGACTTCATATCAATATGTATTGGATTGATTAGATTATTGTAAATATAACTAGAATTGTAAAAAACAAAGAAACAATCCAAACAAGTGCGGCACAGTTTAAACAACAGGTCAGATCCGAGATTAATTCATTGAACGTGTACTTAGACTTTTAATTTGGTTAAAAAAACAAAACAAAATGAAAGGAAAGGAAAACCAACAACGTCCAATCAGTTAGTCGTTATTTAATCAACAGGATTCTTTTAAATGAGTTAAACTGAACTCAACGATGAACAGTGAGTGGAAATTCTCTCTGAAGACTTTGAGCTCAGTTGGTGAAGAATGAGAAACTGTGTTCAAACACGTCTCCGCTTCCTCCCGGGGTACAAATATTAAAATGAGTATTTTAATGCGTCAATGGACTTTTTTTAGTTTGATCCATGTCCCATCTGCTAACACGGAGGAGGCAGGGTTCGTGACCCACACCGCATCCAGCCACCAGGGGGCGATCGGGATGCTTCAGCTCTTTATATTCAGTCTATAATGTGCACATTATTAAAACCATTACATTGTGACCGAGGACTCTTTTCCCTTCACACTAATAGAGTGTCAGTCACTCCTCCGTCCACCCCCCCCACCTAAACCAGAACACCTGTTCCCGCCACAAGTGGCACAGAGACGCTATTAAAACCCCGAATATCTCCCATTGTGGTGCAGCTCAGCTCATCTCTCCGGCTCCATTCAACCATCAGTCGCTGAATAGGAACCACCCAACCCTCCAAGGTTCAACGAGGAATTTTCAATCAGGAATGTTCGGCATCCTCTCGGCCGTCACTCACAGGTTTGATGGACTCGGGGAGAAGGTTACTGGAGGAATCAGGTGTTCGACGCTCCTCGTATGAAATTGTTTCCGGACGACAGGAAGAAAAACACGAGAGCTGGAGGTGAGAGCTGCCGTGGGGGAGGACGGTCCAAGTCAAGTCCTTCAGGTCCGAGCAGCTCGATCGCCGTTAACTGCGGACTTCGTCATTTCAAAGCTCCCGGTCGTTACCCTCTGCGGAGGAGGTTATGTTTCCACCCCTTTAATATCTATGAGTGTGTGACTTGCTTGATTGAATTTAAGGGGAAGGTTTTGTTTCGGTTTCTTGCAGCACGTCGTCCTATGAATTAAGTTATTTTAGGATTTTACCAGATGAACTGAAGTCACGTCCTGAATGTCCAAGAACAACATCTAACTGTTACACACGTTCTACCGACGTGTCACATCGGGCTCCTGACATTTCGCTCCTTTAGATAATATAGAACGTTTTCTGTACCGGTGATGAGCGTCAGGCTGTAATCGATGGTTTTCTCTCACGGGAGCAGGTCGTGAAGACAGACACACATTAATGAGCCTCCAGCTCAGTTTCAGATTCATTAACTTGAGTTTCGTCTCAGTTTAGTTGTTGGTGAAAAAATGACGCTTCGGTCAATTTTCCAAAAAAAAGCCAGACGACAGAAAAATCAGACTGGAGGAGATGAAAACACAAAATCATTGAACTTCTAATTTTAGAGATTTTATGGTTCAGATTTAGAAACACACACACACACACACTTACAGTGACTTCGCTCATGGCTGTGGACATACCATACATGACTGCAAACATGCCCCGCCTTCTGCACACACATACACACACACACACACACACACACACACACACACACTGCTCTTTAACACACAATCAACAGCTCGAGTTTGACTTGAAAACTGACTCTTGTCTGGGATTGGAAGCTACAACAAATGTGCAAACACACACACACACACACACATGCTTGTGGTCGATCCTTGTGTTATTTCTAAAGAAAGACCGAGTACAGTTTCATTTATTTCTCGCCACAACAAAAGAGGAGCTGCAGTGAATTTGACTTTTGTTCCGGATGTTATAATTAAAATATTTCCTTCGTTCCCAATGTTCCACCCTGAGTTTGACCCTGACCCGAGGTTTCTGTCCTAAACAAAGAGTTTATTCTAACAAACCACAGCTGAAAGTTGATGTCGGATTATGTTGCACGTTATCAGAATAATAGTTTTTAAAAAATATAACAATTTCCACAGGGTGTAATGTCGTAATATTACTAGAATAATAAATAATATTACGAAACTAAAGTTGTAATGTAAAAAGAAAGAAGTCATATTACACCAAAGTGATATATATATTTTATTTCAGATATAAGCTCTTAATCCTCATCATAGTGTCTCACATGAAGAATGTGTTGAATTGTGTGGACTGTACAAACTGTACATAGCGTAAACATGTGGGCTGAGCAGGTGTGTGTGTGTGTGTGTGTGTGTGTGTGTGTGTGTGTGTGTGTGTGT